GACAGACAGCGAGAAAGACGAATGAGAGAGATAGGAAAAGAGAGAGCGCGCGCGAAAAAACGCGCTCGCGCAAGAAAGAACTAATTACTGTAGCGAGCGATAAACCGATGAAGAAATAGAACGAGGAATGATGAAACGCCCCGAATATAAAAACTCCCGCGCTACCAGCTCACCTCTAAACAAAGACACACCGACAACAATCACACTTACCGCAATCTCGTGTTTCAGCTGATCCTAAATCTCAGTACTTCTAGTGACGTTCTATCTAAGTCTTCTTGCTATATCTCTTCTATACATACACGAAGAGTAACGCACTGTTGCTGTTGCCACTGCAATGTCCATGCGGTGGGCTGGCCCAGTGAGTGAGCAGCATTAGCGGCTCCGCTAGAGTTTTACTTCTACTACTACTGTGTTACGTACTGGCATCGCGTTCATGCCACAGCGCTCCGACTTGCATCGCGAACAGCTGCGCATGCGCACACGCGCGGATCTCTCGTGCGATAGTGATCGCGGCGGCGCGCGTTGCGTAACGATGACGTCACTGAGATGGGTGGGAACGTGTGCGCATGTGCGGTGCAGGCGAGTTCTAGAAGCGGTTTGTAGTTGTTGTATGATCGTGGCCGCGGGGAGTTATAGTTTTAACTTTTAACGAGGGAGCTTAATTTGCAGTTGTAGTATTGCAGTTGTATAGTTATAGTTATAGTTGCAGTTGTAGTTTTAACTTTAGTTGTAGTTGTTGTAGCTTTGTAAATTTGTAGTTGTTACTGTTCAGATGTAGGCGAGTGATTGTGAGGTTGTAGTAGTGAATTTGTAGTTGTACAGATGTAGTTTTAGTTTTAGTTTTGTTGCTAATTTTAATCGTTGACTCGTAGATTCCAAGTTACTAGCTGTAGTGTTAGTGTTGTAACTGCTGTTTTGTAGTTTTGTCAATGGTGTAAATTTATGCACACACTCACGCGCACAGGTCAAATCAAGGATTACAAATCAGGAAGCACAAACGAACCGGATTTCCGCTATGATCTCTCTCTCTCTCTCTTTTTCGTTATGTTGACGTAAAAACAGCTGAGCGTATTTCGGTTGCTGTTGCAACCGGCGTACGTGGAAGTGACGTGTACGTGTACAGTAAGTTTAGGTAGAGTTGCACTACATATATATATATAGCGTAACGTAACTAAAAAAGCAAATTTTTCCGCGCGGGGGTAATTAACGATGGAATGTGAAATGCTACAGGCGCAACAGGGTGCTAATTAATAAGAGACTCATCAGCGTCCCTTGTTAATTAGGGTGTGTTTCGGCGAGAAACAGCATCATGCAATGAGAGAGATATGACTAGGCTGACTCTCGCCACAGGAGAGATCCGTTGTTGCATTGCGTCACACACGGTTGCGATATATATATATATATATTTATGCGTATACGTATATATGTATATAAGAATATATATATACCAGGAGTTAATGAGAGGAGGCTTGTCTGATTAACTCCATATATATATATATTTATATGAGAAGAGCTGCATTGGCACCTGTCTAAAAATAGAGAGAGAGAGAGAGAGAAGGGAAGAGAGAGAGAGAGTGCGAGACAGAGGGAGAGATAGAGGGAAAGGGAGAGGGGGAGAAAGAGATAGCACATATGAACAGCATTGGTTCGGAGGAGGCAGTTCTCCAACGTGCTGCGTTTGTTGTTGTTTGTTTGTTTACGTGATTTGTCTCTGCGGCTGATTAAGCGAAGAGATGTGAAGAGCAGCGAAAGAGCGAAATGTAAGCGACAGGGAAAGAGGGAAAGCGAGAGAGACAGAGAGAAAGAGGGAGAGAGAGAGAGAGCGAGAGAGAGAGAGNGTGTGTGTGTGTGTGTGTGTGTGTGTGTTGTTGTGTGTGTGTGTGTGTGTGTGTGTGTGTTGTGTGTGTGTGTGTGTGTGTGTGTGTGTGTGTGTGTGTGCGTGTGCGCGTGCGCGTGCACGTGCTTGTGCAAAACTAATAAACACGAACTTTATTCATTATAAGTGTTAATGTTTATCAACTCTCTATCACGTAATAATTCCCCTTAAATGCCGTTCAATTACTTCTCCGCAGCACACAACCTCACCGCACGCGCGTCACCCTGCACACCGCGTCACCCAACATCACAGACAGACAACGATTCTCGCATGAAAGCAGCTCAAGTGTCTGTGCTTGGGATAAGGCGCAGGCTCGGCTGCGACACAGGCATTCTAGTGTAATGTAATGTGTGCTGTGTGTATTCTAGTGTAGTGTGTAGTGTAATGTGTGCTGTGTGTATTCTAGTGTAGTGTGTAATGTAATGTGTGCTGTGTGTATTCTAGTGTAGTGTGTAATGTAATGTGTGCTGTGTGTATTCTGGTGTAGTGTGTAATATAATGTGTGCTGTGTCTAATCTAGCGGGTCGTGCCATTATGATGATGATGATGATGATGATGATGATGATGATGATGATGATGACGGTGATGATGATGGTGATGGAGCGTTGATATATTTTCTAATGATGATTTCTATCATTCTATAAATGATGGGTAAATAACGAGCGTGAAGCCGTACGCGTGCGTGCGTGTGTGCGTGCGCGTGTACGTGCATGTGTGCGTGCGTGCGTGTGCTTGTGCGCGTGTACGTGCATGTGTGTGTGCGAGCGTGTGCTTGTGCGTGTGTGTGTGCGCGTGTGTGCGTGCGTGTGCTTGTGCGCGCGTGTATGCGTGTATGCGTGTGTGCGTGTGCTTGTGCGCGTGTATGTGCATGTGTGTGCTTGAGCGTGTGCTTGAGCGTGCGTGTGTGCGTGCGTCTGCGTGTATGCGCGCTTGCGTGTGAGTGTGCGTGTATGTGCGTGTTCGTGTGTGCGCGTGTGTATGTTTTCGCGTCCGTGCATGTGTGTGTGTGCGTGTTTTCGCCTGTGTCTGTGCGTGTGCATGTGTGTGCGAATGCGTGTACGTGCTTGGTGTGCGTGTGTGTGCGTGCGTATGCGTGTGTGCGTGCG